TTCTTCTTCTTCTTCTTCTTCTTCTTCTTCTTCTTCTTCTTCTTATTGTTACCTTGTTGAAGACTTCCACAGCGGCTTTCCTGCTGGCCAGTGATATGTCCTGTTCTAACTGCGCCACCACCTCCCTCATGATGCAGTAGTCCAGCACTAGACCCCTCAGTGTTGTCTGGTGGAGGGAGAGAAGGGAGGAGCGGGGGCGAGAGATGTGTTTGTGTTATTTAATAACCTGTGATTTCGGACAGTTGAAATGCCACCTGAAAGTAGAGTATTATCTATCTGATTGAGCTATATTCTTTTGTTAAATATTTAAATGATCTATGACGTGGCGTAAAACAGTTGAAATGCAATTTGAAAACATACTATTTTGGGTGAAGCTGGACAAAAAAGCGAGATGTCTCTGAAATAAGGAAATAAATAAAAGAAATTATCTTCCCAAAATGAAATACCTAAAAAGAGTACTTGTGCAAAATGAGAGAAAACACATCTCTTCCATGAAAATAAAAGTTACAGTTTTAAGAGGAGCAATAGTTCAAGCCGATTAACGTGGTTTAATAAAAATAAAAGTCACCTGATAGGCCGAAATTCAAGGTTAAAATCCCAGATGGAGTTCTTATTACTTTTTCTCAAATCTCTTTCTTCCTGATATACTTTCTGTCGGAATGGCGTCTTTTATGTATTTGTTTGTTGTTGGGTGTTTGTGTTTGTTTTTTTTGTTTTTTTTTTGGGGGGGGCACAACTCAACAGACACCTGTCTTCAACAATAAGTTCTTGTTTTTACAAGACTTCTATGGCACATGCAACACAAATACGTTACATACGCACAAAAGTTTAGAAGTATTACCAGAAGCTATCATACAAAGAAAAAAAAAAGGATGAAAGCTAATGACGATAGATGTTTGAGAGTAAAGAAGGAGGAATAAGGCCATATTATCCTTTATTAACCACCCACACTGCGGTCAGCGGAGGTCAACTGATAAACCCAAAAGAAAATTAAAGGGAGAGAAAAAAAACGAACAGCCAGGACTACTCACCTGTCCTTTTTGGAAGAGGTTGACCTTCTTGACCTCCAGCTGGTCCTTGTTCAGGCTCTTGGCCACGTGATCCATGATGGACTCCATGACAAACATGGCGGGGATTGAGCCTGAGATATCACCATGGCAACGGCAAACACATATAAGATAAGATAAGATAAGATAACATAAGATAAGATACGATAAAATAAAATAATGCCAGGTGATGTGAGGTGAGGTGAGGTAGGACAGAACAAAATAGAATTAAACAAGATAAAATAGGATAAGATAAAATTTGATAAAATATATGAATAATACGAAAAGTAATCAAAAACTTGATTGATCTTGATACAGAGTTATCGCCAGTTCCTGTAAGTGTGTAAGTAAGTGTATGGGTTTAACGCCCCTATCAATACTGTTAGAATATCTTAGAGTTAGGGACTCTGAATGTAACGTCTTGAAAACTCCACAAAACGACCCGAGCTGGGTTATCGGAGATCCTGCGACAGTGACAAATAAGATAAAATAAGATAAAAATACGAAAAGTGACTACAGACTTGATTGGTCTTCTTTAAAGTGGGAGAGGGGGTGGGGGGTGGGCTAGGCACGTTGGGTTAAGGGTGGAGTTAGGGGGTGGTTATTTCTTTTTAAAAAATTTAGTAAAGAGAAGCGCATCGATACAATAACGATCATTTAGAGCAGGGAAGAAGCAAGACTGACAGACAAAAACAACAGAGGGAAAGAAAAGAAGTAGGACCAGTGGCGCCCTCAAACAACCCGCTTCAGGGGGTGGGGCGTTGAGGATAGGGTTAGGAGTGTGAGGCAATGTGGTTGCCTTTAAGCACAAGGGGGCTATCCTGAAAAATGCTGTTTTGAGAAAAATCGAAGGAAGCGTTTTTGCCCCTTGTTCAGTTTCTTTAACAGACAAGAAGAGTTTTCTCTGTAACCAAACAAATATACACCTTAATAAAACCAGACTCCTTCTATTGGTAGGGCAATGCCCATTTTTGGTGTAGGTCAAAATTTCTGGAACCCCCAAAATCTGGGTTAGCCCGCTAGTCCTTAAAAGCGACCATATAGATATGCGTTTACTCACCGGGGGATCGGCATGGTGTGCTCACTGGTTTGTTTGTCTTACACGGCTGGAACGTAAATGACCAGTTGGGGCAGTAGTAGGCTGGTACATAGAAAGAACAATGAATAAACCTGTGTTGCACAAACTTGGGTATGGGGTAGGAAGGATAAGAAGGGGAGGGTTACAAGATGGAAAGATTTTGTCAATTTAAGGAGGGAGGGTGGGGGTTGTGTTAGGTCATAGGTCTTTTGGATAGAAGGAAATGAATAGTGTTACGAGAAGG